AAGAAACACGACAATGTATAAAGTGCTCCATTACCTTCTATGTTACATTATGGCCCCGTAGAAACAGATTTAGTAAAAATAGGCTAACGATTGCGTCATAACCACTCTACTCTCTGTCGCGCTGTACAGAAATTACCGTACAGACAGGAGGAGAAGCTCGCAGGCAGTCGGGGGGACGTCCCGTCAAGGGAGAAGCCCATAGATAATGAGTCCATAAAAGCAACGGAATACTTACTCCTGCTCACTCACGCCAAAGAACTCTTTGCTCAAGTTCCCCGTCTCTGCAAGATTAACGTTGGCAATTTTCACGCACAGCTACTAGAAGATTAACGTCTGTCAGACAGGTTGCTCTCGTCATCAAGCTTAGTTTGAGTCGGTTTGAGTCAAGGGGGTAATCCATCGACCGGAAGTTGAAGCCGGCCGGGTGCCGCCATGTTGTAGCAGAACTTCACTTGCGTTAGCATTTCCATTGACTCCCATTCATTTTGGCGTCACTTTGACAGCGAATAACTTTACATCTGAGGCGTTTAAAGACTCCATTTGTCCATTATTTATTTCTAAAGAGACACGACAATGTATAAAGTGCTCCATTACCTTCTATGTTACATTATGGCCCCGTAGAAACAGTTTTAGTAAAAATAGGCTAACGATTGCGTCATAACCACTCGACTCTCTGTCGCGCTGTACAGAAATTACCGTACAGACAGGAGGAGAAGCTCGCAGGCAATCGGGGGGACGTCCCGTCAAGGGAGAAGCCCATAGATAATGAGTCCATAAAAGCAACGGAATACTTACTCCTGCTCACTCACGCCAAAGAACTCTTTGCTCAAGTTCCCCGTCTCTGCAAGATTAACGTTGGCAATTTTCACGCACAGCTACTAGAAGATTAACGTCTGTCAGACAGGTTGCTCACGTCATCAAGCTTAGTTTGAGTCGGTTTGAGTCTGCGCGTCAGGAACGGAAGTGCTCAGAAATCGCTAAAAATGGGCTTCAACTGTCTCAACTGAGTTCCAATGAGATGGCTCTGTCCACTTCTTATACTGTCTATGGGTTGTGCAGGAACACACTGCTTTGGCAAGCTGTTTCAAACTCCTTAAACAAACTCCAAACGAACTTCGTTTAGGCCTGATTTCGTTCGTAATGATGTCACACCAGTTCGTTCTTTATAACGGGGCCTTTAGTGTTTCACACTACTGAAGGAAAAAGTAGAAGAAATTCAATTCACAGGTATTAAAATCACAACAACATTTATTTAAAACAAACTACACAGCAAGGTTTAATCAATTAACACGAGGTAATGCATGCATCATGAACTATAACAATAATTGGTCAAACTTTAATTTAGGGTCCAATTCTCACTATTACAGTTTTTCTCAATTGCTAAAACACAATTTCTGAATCCTTGCTCCTTTTTCTGAAAACATTAAACACAAAACCTCATCTTCAAGCACTATTTACAAAACCTCTGACTCTTCTTGCAAAATGAAACTTTCGCCTCAAAACAGTTTTACTTGTGTTCAAAATCAAACACTGCTCTCAAATCATAGACAAAGTGATCAAAATGATATACACTATCAAGCAGTCAGTAAACAATACACCAAAAAATAGAAAACACATTGTTCAAAACATACAGTTCTCGAAAGATATCTATGGACGGCTATTCTGTTTGTAGACTTACCCGTGACACATTACTGTACCATCAAAATTTCAGGGAGAAGTACATTTTTAATCTTAAAACAAATTTCATATTTGTCCGTCATTGTCTTTTGATGAATGAAAACATCATAGTAGCGCAAAATTGATCAGAAATTACTACTCTGCTTTGCTCTTTGCAATTTTATTTGTTCTTCCTCCTTGTACCCCTATTTTTACAGTACAGTGCCCTGCATCTCACAAACGTCTCATTTGTCAGTTCTATTGTTTGATACTGTAATTCTTGTTCTTTGTTGATATGAACCTGCAAGTGCAACCAGTAAAATCTATTGAGCATTCAGTACTGTAACAAATGGTACTGTTACAGTAACGATGTTCGGGGCCATATAATTTGTTCATTGTACAGTATACAGCCTACAATGCACTGTACTACAGTATACAATACTAAAAGGGACAAAAATCAAAGGAGTAAACGTGATCAGTGTGCTTCTTCTTGTCTTTGGGCATCATTTGAAACAGGTTAAATCAATTTTGAGTGGTTGTGTTCAATCAATGACATTTGTTCTCTATTTGTATTTGATCATTGCCACTTGTGTTTACCAGTATGGATGACGTGTGCCTTACAGTGCAGAATATGTTTTGAGAATGAGAATGTGTTTAGCGTTTTGCTGAAAAGTCTAAGTAAGATCTGCAAATTGTGTTTTGCCATGTGAAATAGTTTAAGGTATTGACAACAGACTGCACAATTAGCTAAATGAGTTCAGGCAACTGAGAACTTTGTTCAGCCAATGGGTTTTAGTGTTTTAGCAATTGAGAAAAACTGTAACTAACTATAACTATGATTTTTGCCTAAATACACTCCTAATTACAGCTTATTAATAGTCAGTAAGGTAGTTAAGTTGTTAAAGCTGCAGTCGGTAGCTTTTCCTCTTTGTCGCCATCTCTCTGTTCGAAATCTGTAAGTGATTCGCGGAATTATCATCTTTACGTGGGTTGTAAATCGGCATGAAACAGCGCGGATGAACACAGTGTTTTGAGGCGAGTGGTGCTGTCAGTCACCGCGGTGTGTGGATAGCCTACTGTCATACAGAATCACAGATTCACTTTTTGAAAGTTTGACCAACATAAGAATTTTCATTAGAAAATGTCTTCTGAACAAGTAAGTAACATCCATTTTTGTTCTGACCAACTAAGGGGGAAAAAGCATTCGACATGATAAGCTTCGTTAGATTTAATCAACGCGATTTACAGCAACCGTGCAAATTATAGCCTACTTTGTTCTCAAATTGTTCATGTTAACAACATCACATCAGCATTGCGTGACTAATGTTAAATTTAATGTGTTTTATGGTTACCTGTGTAGTTCAGAATTCATATTCTCCATAATAGCAAAACGAGAAAGGCACAACAAAGGAAACTCCATAACTGTGTGAATTAAGAAAACGTACTGTTACACGATTGAACTATTGAAATGTCTTACTTGTTCAGCAGAAAAAAGCCGTCTCTTCTTCCGTTTTGAACCCCTTCAAAACACGGAGTTCACGCACTTTTCAAAAGCCCCGCCGATGTTTAAATCCTTGTGTTCGCATGAGACGGTTTCTTTCTCTTTCTCTAGCCACCTTAAATCCGAAGTACGAAGTCTTTTGGGTTTTATAACTGCTGAAACTCCAGTTGACACTGATGATTGTTGTCTGGATCTTTCTGGATGCCATAAGTTTAATTATGTAACTGCGAGAAAAGCCTATACATCTAAACATCTCCTCACGCGCAGTATAGCCGGCTATAGCCGAAACTCCTTCTTTATGTGTACGGGTGTGACGTAATGACGCAAAAACATGCTCGAATTTCCCGCGGAAACCCACCAGTACCACTGGAATTAAAATCATTATTACAAGCTAACCGTTTTGAATCTAGCTATGGCAAGCAGATAGTTTTGACCACTGGCAGAATAAGTTTTTTTTTATATAATTATTTTGGATTATTTTTAACTTAAAAAAGTTACGGACTGGAGCTTTAAGGGATAGAATATGGTTATGCAGAATAAGGCATTCATATGTTTTTTTTTTATATATATATATATAAGTAGGCTACTAATAAACAGTCAATATCCTAAGGCAAATAAGCAACTAGTTCATAGAATCGGAAGCTAAACTAAAGTGTAACCACAATTTTAATTCGTAACCAACAAATCAATTTGCAATCACCAATGTTAATTTGATAATTGTTTATCAAATTGTTCATAATTTATGTTTGTTCACATTAATCTGTGTAAATTTGTAATTGAAGTTGCAATGTTAAATGTATTATTATAGAATATAGAATCTATATTTAGTAAATTCTGATTTTTTAAAAATACATTTTTAGTTCATTTATTATACCTAATATAATGTGAATGAATTGAACAGTATTGTAAAGTGTAACCAAATCTTTAAGTATTTAATACAGGAAAATCTCATATTTGTTCACAAACACAGTGGCTCATTAAACAGTATGTCATCAGATATCATTGCTTCGAAATCAAAATACTTATCACATACTGTAAGTTCAAATCTACAGACATTGTTAAGAAGAATACCAGCATTTTTTTTTTCTTCTGCAGTAAAATAACAAAATCAGAAGACTAGAAAAAATATGTCCACCATTTACATGCATAAATTACATACACCAAGCATTTGCATAACACACTATTTTAAATGGAGTTTTCATGCTTCTTTGAACTTAAATTTTTTTTTCTAAAACAATACAAAGGTAATAAAATGCTGTATTTTTATTTGTGATTTTTAACTCAATGAGACAATAATTTTCAGCTTACATGACAAAAAAAATGGATCTTTTCAGTTAATTTACTCTTATAAACAACGTTCTACTCTCTGCTCTAAATAAGAAATGAAGTGGAGCACAATTCATTTTGAACATGTACAGTATAGATTTAATTTATAATTATAGAGGTGCATTCATTTATTTCGAGATGTTTATGGTTTGCCACTACAAAAATATTCTCAACATTTTAAGTACTTCTAAACTGCATACATGTATTATTTGCATCATTGGCCTGGTTTCACAGGCAGGTCTTAGATTAAGCCAGGATTCATTTGTGTTCCGAAGATGAACGAAGGTCTTACGGGTTTGGAATGACATGAAGGTGAGTAATTAATGACAGAATTTTCATTTTTCATTAACTTCCTATGAACTAAGGATTAAGCCTTAAAAAAGCTCAGTAATGCATGTTAGTCTGGGACTAGTTTTAAACCTTAAAACCGGGGGATTATGTTTTCGTTTGCTAAATGATATTGTTGCGTTTCTGTTGTTTTCTATTAATAAAAAAGAGTATCTAAAAACAAGCACATTTCTACTCTGCATATTAATACTCTAGCCTTTTTTTTGTGCACAAAATGTCACTGCATTGACCTGACGACAGTCCCCTGCTGAGGACAATGTAACTCCTATTATAAATACACTACATAACAGAAAGGCACATTTTGAACTTCTTAATTCAATATTTTCCAACAACACAACATGAAACTTCCACAGTAACATCAAAACATTTCAAATGATGTAAGATGACCGTGAAAAAATCTGTACAAATTATACTGTCCCTAATGAAGATGTTCAGGCTTCACTTCCCCTCCTCCGCTGCAATTATGCACCTATCCATCTATGTATAAATCCATTCATCCATCAGTCCATCCCATCAGGTTCTTCCAGGAACCTTCTTCAATATTTGCTGACCAGGTTGCAGAGGCTGCGTAGTCCATCAAAGCAGAGGATCTCTTTAAAGGTCTTTCTCATCTCTTGGCTCCTGAACGCATAGATCAGTGGGTCAATCACCGAGTTACACATGATGAGTATCAAGTACATGTTAAAGTGTGACATGAAGCAGATGCAGTAAATGTCCCGTGGGCAGGAAATCATGAGGATGAGATGGAGAAAAAATGGTGCCCAGCACACGATGAAGATTCCCAGTAAGATGGTAAGGGTGATGGCACCCTTCATGCTAGCTCTTTGCCTGATGTTGGCTTTATAGCCCGGCAATGCCGCCATGCGTTTGACATGCGAACGGGCCAGCAGGAACATGTGGATGTAGAGTGAGGCCATCATCAGCATCATGGCAAAGAACATAGCCACCAGGCACACAACCACAGGCTTAGTTTCGGAGTACATGATGAAGATGATCCCACAACTTGTGGAGAAGGTCCAGATGCTGCCGATGAGAATCCCAGCTCGCCGTACGGTCATTATATTATGGTAACGCAGAGCATAGAAGATAGTCACGTAGCGATCCACCGCAATCGCTAACAGGCTCAACATAGATGCCACCACAGAGATACAGATGAGAGAATCAAATATGTTATCCATCTGACGGATGAAGTGATCCTCAATCACCAAACTCCTGTTCGCCAGCAAGTGGATAACTATTGTCTCCCATGCGTTGGAAACGCTAACTAACATGTCGGCCACTGCTAGGCTGCAGACGAAGAAGTACATGGGTGAGTGGAGGTTCTTGTTCTTCACGATGGCAAGGATGACCAGGATGTTTTCAAGCAGGCTGATGAGCCCCAGTGTGAGGAAGACCTCAGGTGCAATGTGCACCTGCTCACAGGCGGATGAAGCACTTGACTTGGACCTGCTTGACTCATCGCTGTGGTTTGTGTGACTCAAAGAGGCGTTTGGAGAAAGTGTGGGCCACTCCGAGGTATTCATGTTCTGATGTAGAATGGATGCTCAGTGTCTGGTAACAGGTGATGTTAGATACATGGCGCGGCATCCATGTACATTTGCTGTAAAGACAAAGAGTTGTTAAAACGTCAAGAAGCATTGTAACCAACATTGTTTTACAATAAAAATGTTTACATGATAGAGATAAATTGCAGAATAAGACTAATCCTGTTGGATCATTTATTTATTTTTTATTCAGAATTTCATTATTTAATTAAGTTATTGGTAAGTCATTGACAGAAGAATTATTGACAACACATTTCTTTCTTTATTCGTTCGCAGACCAAACAGCGCTACTGTAACGATCACCAGTGAGAGTGGCCGGGATTACCATCAGAGGGCACTACAATCCGGACAATCACCACACATCCATAGACTCCATTCCTACTGTCTATGCTCCATTCCCCATTATCCACTGCCCAGAGTAATCAGCCATGATCACATCCACCTGTATGTCATTACCTTGTTTAGCTCACCCCATATAAGCCTGGTTTTCTCATTCATTATCTGCAAAGTCTTGCAAGTCTTCCAAGCATTCTCTCTGTTGATCGTGTGTTCATGGATTCCCCTTTTTGCCTGTGTCCCCTGGCTTTTTGTTGTGTTTGTTTGTATGGACTGCCTGCGTGTGTTTGACCTTGCCTGTACTTTGAATTACTCTTTCAAAATAAACTGCATTTGGATCCTCAAGCTTCGTGTATCAGAGCAGTTTGTGACAGCTCCCATTTGCTGCTATACAACAACTCACAATGTATCTGTCACATAATGTGGTTGTATATAACTCGCACGATGAGGAAGAGTTCAGGGAACAAACTTAATAACAAAACTGACAGGCTCAGGAGAAAACACAAATTTGCATAGGCGCTAACATTGACGAAGATGGCCAACACATGACAGAAAACTCAGAACTTAAATAGGTAATCAAAGAAAGGACATACAAGTATTAGAAAAATGGGGTATTAATTGGGGATTTAAATTCTCCATTCCTAAAACAAAGATTATGTTTTTTACCAGAAAGAAGATCCCAGAAAGTTATAAAGTTCTGTTATATAATCAATTAATTGAAAGAGAGAAGAAATTTAAATATTTGGGGATGTGGTTGGATGAAAGGCTTACATGGAGATATCATATAGATATCTCTATGTTGAAACAAAATGTAAAAAAGTTCTAAATCTAATGAGGATCCTCACTGGACAGTGTTGGGGAGCAGATAAACAGTCTTTGATGTACATTTATACAGCCTTAATAAGATCGTCCATAGACTATGGATGCAGTTTATAGCTCAGCATGTAAAACTTCCTTGAGGAAACTTGAGAGGGTTCAATTCAAAGCTATAAGAATTGCTTTAGGAGCTATTAAAACAACACCCACAAGTGCGTTATTAGTATAATCTGAAGAATATCCACTTAATCTAAGATATATTTAAGTTGTCTCTATAATATTGGGTTAGGCTGATGGGAAGTATCAATAATCCAGCAATTTCAGTTATTAATGATTGCTGGGAGTATCACATAGAATCAAAAAGGTTTGGTTGGAACATTAACAGTATAGCGGAACAATACAGAATTAAAGCATTTAAATTTAGTCCTTCACTGGTTTTAAGTGCGGTTCCCCCATGGTTTCTACCATCACCTGAAGTTAACAGTGAATTACGAAAAAAAAAAAAAGAGTATCCAAATGAGCAAAGTTTTGCAACATATTGCCAGGAATATTTAAAAACATCATTCTATGGATATGTTCAAATGATGGATCAAAAGATCTACAAAATGGGCTTTGTGGTATTGGGATATATGTCCCAAAATTTAAAAAAAGAGAGGGGTATAAATTAAATATTTTTTTATCTGTAGTCTATTGAAATGTCTGGGTTAATAACAGCTCTTAGGTGGATTGAAGAGGTTAAGACATTGAGAAATGTAATCTGTACAGATTCCATGGCAGCGTCTAGATACAGGTCACTCTTCAAGGGAAGATTTGATTATTGAAATTAAATATTTGTTACTGCAACTCAAGAACCTTGGAATCAGTATTCAGTTTTGTTGGGTTCCAGCTCATATAGGCATTAAAGGTAATGAGTAGGCGGATAATATTGCAAAAAAGATGTTGGAAAACAAATATATAGGAATTAATGTTCCAATAGGTAAGGGTGAAGCCAAATCCATAATCAAATCAGTAAATGTTAAAAAATGGCAAAGGGAATAGGAGGCAGAATTTAATGCAAGACACTACCATAAATCTCAGAAGAATGTGACAGGGAAAAGGGTTACTTCACTGAATCTAAACAGAAGGGAAGAAGTGGTATATACCAGACTTAGACTAGGACATACAGGACTAAACTCCACTTTACACATAGTAGGAAAGGGTAATGGTTATGTATAGTGTGCCAAGACAGAGAAGATGTTAATCATGTACTTTTTAATTGTGAGAAGTATAATGATAATAGAATAATCTGGCAGGAAATGGAAGGGGAGAACTCTATTCATGAAATTCTGGAAGAAAAGGGCATGACAAGGGAGAGACTTAAAGCTTTATTTATTTATCTTAATAACACTGGTTTAATGGAAATAGTATAATTGGTCTTGGTAGTTTTTTTAAAAATTAATTAATTGAATTCTAGACTCTAAGACGTTCATGATATTACACACTCCTGTACAGTTGGTGGCGGTATACTACAAAATAGTCATCTTCCAAGAAACAGAAGAAGAAGAAGAAGAAGAAGAAGAATGAAATGACTAATTAAACTGACTGAGGAAAACTAGGGCTGTGTCTGAAATCGCATACTCTCTTGAGTAGGTACTTATTTTGAACAAGTAATTACTTCACGGCCACTTAAAAAGTATGTTCAATATTGTATGAATGTATGTAGTACAACATTCGGCATGCTGTCATTATCATGTGACCTACCAGCGTCAGTTGCGTCGCTTCACTGACATTCATAAATCCTCTCCCTTGGGCTCATTGGATAGTAAAGTGTCCATCTTATGCACACTTCAGAATCTCGCAGGAAGTAGTAGGTCATCAGAGTACTTTTTGTATACTCTTTTATTAGTAGGCTACTGTGAATTCAGACATACTTCTTTTGTCACATATGTTTTTCGCCAACTATATAGTAGGTAAGTATGTGATTTTGGATGCAGCCGGTCACAGGGCAGAAGCAAAAACACAATGAAGGAGGGAACACAGACCATGGAACAGTATCGCACACTGCATGGAGTTATTCTCTTCCAATTTAGAGATTAATTGGTTATTTCAAATATGAAATATAATCGTAAGCTTGGTGAATAGCTTTGGAGAATTTGAGGTTTACCCATTCAAAGAGACAGATGCTGTACTTGCATGACTGAAATAGCTGCTCGAGAGGCGTTTCAAAGATGGACGCCGAGTGAGGGACTTTGTTCAGTACTTGCATGCTCAAGTTCAAGACGGCAGTCTAAAACAGTGAATCTTATCACCATACAGTAAAAAGTTCACTGCAAGAATGAACAAAGTCCTTTGTTCAGTTTTCCCACTCCTCATTTGTGTTCTTGGTTTCAGCGGTGTGTATTAATTAGTCTCGCTTGTGTTTGCGATATTATAGTTGAACCCTCACATTCATTCTCTGTTTGGTCAAGGTAAGGGGTGTCACATATTGCCTGTTTGGATTAAACTTCACATTGGAATCACATTCTTCTGAATCTTCGTCTGTCTCTCTCTGTCTGTCTACTCACACACCCACTCACAAATTTGTGTTAACATCCCTCACTTCTGACTTTCTTCTCAGAATTGCAAGAAAAAGAGAGAAATAAAGTCAGAATTGTAAGGCACATTGGCCCTCATTTATCAAAAGTGCGTACACCAAATTTCCAGCGTACACCTGGCGTACACCCAAAACCACGGTGACTTTGAGATTTATCAATATGGACGTTGGCGTACGGCACGCTCAAATCCTACGCCAGCTCAGAGGTGGTGTACGCACGTTTGAGTTAGTGCAGAAATGCGCAGAAAAACCTAACACCACAAAACGCACTGACAAACTAACTGATCAACTGCTCAAACTGACATAACTAAAAGATATGATATATTGATAAATGACCAACAACAACAACAACAACAGTAATTATAAACTTCAGTGTTTATTTTTGTGCAACATGGACTTCAATGTTTAATTTGTGTGACTTTACCAAAGCATTTGATTTATAAGCATATGTATTCCTTCAGTTGCGAGCCTGTGCGCTTTACCCTGACGTTTCATGGTTAGGCCCGGCAGGTGCGCACGGACTGGGTTCGGTAACGAAAGGCTTTCAATGACCAAAAAATAATTCAGACTGACAAAAAAAAAAAAAAAAACATTCTTCTTCTTTTAAATAATAATAATAATACAAATAATAATAATGACATTCTTCTTCTAAATAACAATAAGCGTCATTAATAATACAAAGTATACTAATAATACTAAGAATAATATTACAAATTGTCATGCAATTATTAATGTGAATGAATGGTACTCCACATCACATCATCATCATCACTATTGTACACCCCAATACATGTGACGTGATTCGAAATTGAATGCTAATTCAAAAGACGTGCTGTAAAATATTGCATTGTGATAGGTCATTTCGGGCTCCACGTCAGAGAAGTTTCTCTTCTTTGCCGTCTTCCGTGTGTCCATGGCGTAAAATGAGGGCGTGGGGGAAGCGGAGACTTGAATATATAGGGGCGTGTTATTCTAATGACGATCGTTTTCAGCCGCGGGATTTATCAAGGGCAGGTATTGCGTACACCTGGATTTCAAAGGTACGCACAGCTTCATAAATCAGGCGGTGAGAGGAGTGTAAGCATAATCTAACGCCAACATATACGCCCGTTTCTACGCAAGAATGTTAAATGAGGGCCATTATGCTTAGGATACACAACACAGCTTGAACATGCAGCATCTTTATTGACAGCGATGTGTGCTCTAAACATTGGGAAAAGGAAACATTAAGACCTTCCTAGGGAACCTAGGAAATCCCTCAGATATGCTGGATCAGGCCAATTACTGCTATGTATCTTTTTGCACTTACATGACTAGAGGTAGTACAATGGAGGTCACATTGGAGTCAAGAACA